GAGCTGTATCCTCTATCCTTGCTGTTGCGAAATGACTTAAGGAGGAATACACNCTGTTTACATCAAATCTAGCTTTTTTTCTTTGTTTAAACACAAAGTTTGTGTATATATATTTATCACTATTGTGCACTGATTCGTATTCTTGTTTAAAGACTAATATATTTTGATTTTTCCAAAAGATTACGAGCAAAGCTGTTTCAAGTAGAATTGATTAATAACGTCCTAAAATACTTTTTATGTATCTTTGATGTTTTGAACACAAAATTTGTTACTCTTTTCTTTTCTCTGATATAATTTGAATGTTGACTATAGCCATCATTCATTTTGGATATTTTTGACGATTAAAGGGCATTGCACGATTTAATGCTCAAATAAAACTTGGAGCTGTTAAGTACGTAAAGGCTTGAGACAAAAATAGGTATATATCATTTTTACAACTCTATCAACAAGAAACTGCATAATTTGACTGGCTGAAAATTTATATTCATTGCAAGTTGAATACTTTTTTTAATCAAATGAGATATAAGAATTTCCAATAGTTTTGATTAATTTTTTTAATATGATACACGCTCTGGAATTGATCGATCGATCGATTGATTAATTGTTTATTGATTTGATTGATTAATTTATTGATTGATTGTTTGAGTGATTGATTAATTTGCTGATTTATTGATGAATTGGTTAATTGATCGATCAATTGATTGATAAATATATAGACGGAGTTATCGAATCATCAATTGATTGAACTTTCGTTCAAAGTTATTTTGTTAAAATTTTAAAGTTATCAGTGATTTTTATTTAACTTATCTCAATTTATTCTCACTATTTAAATAATATTATCATATCAAAAAGGTTTTCATACATATGTCTAGTTTTTGAACTAACCAACGTTTCTTGCTTTAAATATTTTTAGACTTAGAAAAATTTCATCTTGATTTTTTTGCGTTTGGATTTTTAGGTGTTTTTTCTTCCAACTAAATATCTCACTGACACAAGTAGCGATAACAGCTGTAGTTCAGAAGATGAAAAATATTTACCCAAAAAGAAGCGACAAGAAGAGAAAAAAACTGACGCTAACCTGACAAATCAGAAGCGTTATCAGGTATCTTTTGATTTATTTATTACAGCGATACTGTTTGTCTTTTGATATTTTGATAAATTTTGAAGTTTTATCATTTACATTTTTTAACAAAACCCAGACATTTCCTGTATATATTGCGAGTTCCGATTACAAAAATACGTTAGCCAAGTTGTCATCAGAAAAGTTGTCCACTCTTAACTACGATGATGAAATTGAGATTAAAGAAGATGACTTGTTTGAAGTAATAGATCGAGCGTACCCTGATCGGTGGTGGTGTCGTCAACTATATTTTCCCCACAGCGAAGGTTGGGTCCCGTCCAGATTTTTGGTACCTCAATTTGATAATTTTGTATGTGAAGTGAATGATTCAACAAACCAAAAAATATATAAGTGTAACGATTACTATGAAAATGATCCTTCGGTAGACATTTCAAGTCTTCCAAAACACCTAAACAATAAATATAATGAATTTCTCGAAAAACGAAAGTAAGTTTAATTATTATGTTACATTAATTGAATGGTCCTTTTTAATAAATAAATATTTGTTGAAATATTCATTCGAAAAATTAACCCTTTATTTTTTAATGCGGATCATTTGTATTTCATTTTTACCAACATCATCATTAAAATTTTATGTCTTCTTAACTTTTTTCAGTTGGTTAGCCATTGCGTTGTAAAATCACGTCTCACATCATTATTTCAGCGCGTTGAATAGGTTTTAATGCTATCTGTACAAAAAACGAAGATAGTCATGTCTTGTATGTATGACACTATGCTTGCGCATCCAAGCAGTGTGGCAACAATTCAACGTGCCACTTTATACGTAAAAAACATTTTATCGTTTTATCATTGAACAACATTTTATTAAATTGTAACTATTATATATATGCTTCGGTTTGAGTTCATCGGAGTTGGTCATATTTTTAAAAATTTTAAAAATTCATCCACAAAGGATTGTACAATCGTTAATGTTCAAACTTTTAATTTAATTACCAAAAATAAAATATTTATTTCTACAGAAATGCTTTGAAAGATTTTATAGACTCAGAGCATGAGTACATAAAAGATTTAACGTTCACGATGAACCATTATTACAAGTCTTTTGATGAAACACTGCCAGAATTGTTGTCAGGATCAAGAGATCTCATATTTTCAACGTTACCCGAGTTGTATGACTTTCATAAGAAGTAACTCGTTACTTTCTACACTTTTTATTTGTAGAAAATAATTATGCTAAACATTAATTAAATTGAAAAATTATTAACCATGTAAAGTATTAGTTAATGATTATCCATTAATTAATAGTGTGTTGTATTCTTCATTATAAAGCGTTTTCACAAAAGAAATCGGTCAAATAAGAAATGATTATGATGACATTGCTAATTTGTTTCTAAAAAACGTTTGTATATTCGTTTTCACAATTTGTATTTTTTGATAAAGACTTTTTGGTTTTTTAAATAGATGGTTTTTTCAACCTGGTAGATTGTTTAATTTCATGTAATTTCATTTATTTTTTTGACATTTGTTCAGAGAGAGTACTTTCAGCGATATGTTCTTTTCATAAAAAACAGACATGTTAGTGAAAGTGTGCTTCATCAAGACAGCTCAAAACAGTTTTTTAAAGTAACCATTTTTTAACTTTTTCAAAGCTTACTTAATTTAAATATATTTAATAGTTTTAGTAAGTATGATATTTAATTTTATGCTGGTCCTTCAGTTCAATTCTAGATTCAAGTAAGACGTGTACATATTTAAAACGAATGTGATAAAAATACATATCTAATGATTTAATTTAATAATTTATTGTTTTATTTTTTGGAATGATTAAATTGTGCTATATAAATAATTTCAATTATTGGTTATCTTTGTTATTTTTGCAGTATTTGTCATATTTGTAGAGACACATATTGTAGAGGTGAGAAGTGATTTAGAAGCCGTTCGATGGCAGAGTTGAGCAGTGAATTATTAGCGATCTTGCAACATTTAGTGCATTTTGGAATTTGCGAATAATTCATTGTTTCCATTACAGTTGGCATTCAAATAAACTTTTAAACAAGTCTTCATTTGAAGCAGTTGTGTTTATTGATCAGAAATCAGTAAACCTATAAAAGATCGATAACTTGAGATAGTGCAAGTTACAACACTAGAGTCAGAAACGGATTTTTGATAGATTAAAACCTTTTGTAATAGAAATGCCAGAAATAGAAGAACTCGATACAACAAATCTGAGGAAGGAACTACGAAAACGAAACCTCCACTCAAAAGGAACTGTTTGATAGTCATTTTTGTAAAGGTCACGATCCTGAAAAATTTAATTTTTCGGATCCTATAAAAGAAATAAATAGACGACTAGATTAAACTAGGGTACAATTTGACCATTCTAGTGTATATATTAATAACATTACTACCACCTAAGCCTGTTAGTCCTTATCATTGGCGTAATTTACTTATTCCGATGAATAGTGGCTAACCTATTCAAATGGACAATCTTCATTTTTGCTTGCTGTCTTTTATGACTTTGGATCCTGCCTTTTATCTTGTTAATGATCTTGTACCGACATTTCCAATTCCTTTGGAGTTCGGAATCCCCGTTTTCTGTGCCTTGGTTGTACAACCACACTAGGTTATTGCTTTTGAAACCCGCATTATTTTTTTTGGGTCTCGCCAGTTTTTGTTCTTTTGGTTTCTTTAGCTTAAGTAGACGTCATGGTGTTTTATTGATTTTGTTGGCACCATGGATATAATGGATATGGCATAATAATTGTTACCTGCCTAATAATTTTGCTCAGTTATAGGGAATTAAACGCGTAAACATTAATATTTTTTGTAGTAATGGACATTTTACTGATTTTTTACGATCAAACGTTTTACTATAGACAAATTTTTTAATTAAATGTCAATAAATTGGCAAAAAAACATTTAGAACGAAAATCGCTTAACAACCGGCTAAAAACTGTTTGTCTACTTTAATTTTTTAAATAAATGTCAATAAATTGGCAAAAACACATCTAGAACGATAATCGCTTAACAACCGGCTAAAAACTGTTTGTTTACTTTAATTTAAATTTACTTTTCAACAAATATTTGTTAGATTGACCTTGATGTTAAATATATATAAACAATGTATATATATATATATATATATATATATTTATAATATTCTATAAATTCTACCGAATGTTTGGCGTTAATATGTTTGTAGTTCGTTTTTTCAATTTTTCTCACTAAAGTTTTTTGGTGAACGTTTAGTTTATTAAAATTCAAAATAAACTTATTTTTCGAATTCATGCTGCAAATAAGGCCATATTTCGATTCCGAATGAATCATCATCAGAAAAGATTGAAAAGATTGTTAAAGGCAAATTACTACACACAGTCAATTACACAGCAATAACCTTCCTAGTACCAACAATCAAGATAACGACATCATCTTGTATTACAGAAATCACATGTCAACTGCTTACAAGGTAGATGAAGTTATTCTTAAACATATCATCAATAAAAATGTCACACCAACCAACCCAAATAGTAAAGTTAAACTCCGAATTTATTACAACAATAAAAAGACGTCTCACCTAATACTGAAAAACAACTGCAGTTCTAGAGATAACTCTGAGTTAAAGCGTAATCACGTAATATATGAATTTAATTGCGCCTTTGACGGCTGTGCACGTCAACATGACTCATATATCGGAATTACTACTACCTCACTGACTAGAAGGCTTACGATGCATAAACAGAGTGGTGCTATCAAATCTCATTTGGACTCAACACACTCAATCACAATTAGCCGTGAAATCCTCGACAGCAACACTAAAGTAATATACCAGAACTGCAACTACACGCATCTTAAAATTGCAGAAGCAGTCCTAATTGACATCAATAAACCAAAAATAAATATACAACAAAAAATGACAACCTCACTTCCAACCCGGCGCTTAACCAACAACGAAAAAAAGAAGTAATAAAAACTAGCATCGTAAATAGTGACAAAGAAGAATATGATGCTATCGATGAAGAAAAGGAGACCAAAGAAAATGACCAGCCAATAAAGAAACCTGACACCTAATTCGCATCAAAGTTCAATTTTACAACACCAAAGTTAATTTTTACAACGTCAAAGTTCATCTTGACAAAGTCAATATTTCCCTATATATACAGCAAGGAGCACTGATGATGATTCATTCGGAATCGAAATATGGCCTTATTTGCAGCATGAATTCGAAAAATAAGTTTAATTTGAATTTTAATCAACTAAACGTTCACCAAAAAACTTTAGTGAGAAAAATTGAAAAAACGAACTACAAACATATTAACGCCAAACATTCGGTAGAATTTATAGAATATAAATATATATATATATATATATATATATATATACCATCGTGAATTAATATAACTCATTTATAAGCATTCGTTTATGTGCACTCATACATGTACTTTTATAATTAGATATCATCAATATTTTAAAACTTCATATTTTTGGGACACCTTAATATATATATATATATATATATATATATATATATATATATATATATATATATATTTTACAATATTCTATAAATTCTACCGAATGTTTGATATTTTGTAGATACAGCGTTTGCTGTATTGATATCTCACCCCATTAAATATGTCTGTATGGTAACAGTAATTTACCTGCTAAATTTTAGCCCATTTGGACAATGTTTAGAGGTTCCCCAAGGGGTCGAAAGTTTCCGATTTTGGTGTTTGATCGTTCGCTACCAACTTTTGATACAGTGTTATATGATATGATTATAAATGTTTTATGATTTGTTTATACAAATGAAACAAAATATATAATTGTGAAAAAATATATAAATCTGCAATGCCTTTTATTTTTTAATTTCAAAAATTAGGTCAAAAATGATTGAAAAACAAGATTTTATTGAATTTCAGTTCGCTTGAATATTAATTAATGCAAATAATTCAAATTTTTGCTAGCAGTTCACGATTATATTCTACAAAGTTTTTTCTATGCTGTTCAACTACTTGAAGCAAAAATTGTTTCTGCTCTGCGTCTTTGGTGATTGTTTCATTGAAATGTTGTACCAACGCTACTCCCCGTTCTGCAGAGTCATTGATGCAAACCAGATTCTTTATAAACACTGCTGCAACTTGGAAATAAAGAGTATCTGACCAGTTTTCAACAAGTACATCAGGAAAACTGGCATCAATATTAGATGTTTCAAAAAATGTTTTAGACGCACGCAAATTGTCAAAACTTTGTGGTAGTGTTTTCATCAGATGTGGGCCTCGATCTGCTTGTATTGTGCGGACAAGATCAGTCTTTTCTTTGTCATACAGGAGAGATGAAAAAAGAACAAGA